AGGGGGACAAAACATTTTTCTTAATAATATTTTAAATAAATTTCAGATGATACATTTATAATTATCATATTTTAAAATAAGATTTTAGATTAAAAAAATTGAATTTATAATATTGCTATAATTTAAGTGGATTTGATTTTGGTGAGAAGACAAAATGATTCCTAACCTAGGGCACAACCTAGGGGTCATATCATTGTGATGCAAATCATGTAATAGGGACATAAACTAATGCCATCATTCAAGCAATTAATGCTAAAAATTCAGGACAACTGTTGTTCGTTGACAAGTTTTTATGCTGGAATTGATGGCACATGTTTTGTTTTTAACTTGAGTTTAGTTTATTTTGAAGTAAAATATTTTATATAAAAAAAAATTAAATTGATTTTACTTAGAAAAAAAAAAATTTGCTTCTGTTTTTTGATATTTGGTTAACACTAAAAACAATTGCTTCAAAAAAAAAAAAAATTGATTTAATATAGTGTTTTTTATATTTTTTTAGTGAGTTAAGATACTTATTTAAAAATGTTAAATATGTTAAAAAGGTAATGAATGAGAGTTAATTTTGTAAAAATTAACTTACAAAATTTTTAAAGATAAGTCATCTTTAAAAAGATGATGCAAAAATATGTTTCTTAAAAAATGTTTTAGAATGCTGCTATTAACACTTATCTTTTTCTTTGGATCACTCATTTCTATTATTTTTTTTTTAATTTCGATTTTGTCCAAACATGAAATTATATTTTTACCCTCATTCCTAACATTCTAACCCTAATTTCGCAAACCCTAACCCTAACTCTAATTTCCCAAACCTTAACCCACTAAACTTTTTACCACCATCTCTATCGGCGACCACCGGTGTCACTGCGGCTGCCAACTTCTCTTTTCATTTTGGCGTGCACATCTATAACGACAAGATCAAGCATCTCCTTGAACAGGCTTCCCTCCGTTGGTCTTATTGTATCAAGTTCCACCATGTAAGAACCCTAACTTTTGTAAACCCTATTAAGTCCCTTACTTTTAAATTATTTCCTTGAAATTGCTTAATTTCTTAATTAATTGCAAGTTTAACCCTGGGATCAAAATATATGCACCAACTGAAAACTTGCAAACCCTAATCAATTTTGATAACTTAGAAATCATTTGTCATATCCTAATACTGATTAATTGACTCCATAAATGTAGAATTACCACTTGAAAACCCTAAGTTTTTTTCCGTTTTTATCACGCTCGTCGGTTGATAGCATTTTTATTCGAAACAAGAAATTCAAACCGAATTAGATTCTCTAACCCTAACTTAGTTAAATTTTACTCTAAAATAAATATTCCAATTCATAAATTAAGGCCATAGCCCTCATATTTTACTTAAATCACAAATTGACCCCAAGTTAGTAACCATTGTATATATATATATATATATATTTGTACCTCTTATTCATCAAATCTTTTGTACACAATATCTATGGAATTTATACACAAAATAAATAAGAAAATCCCCCAATCTTGAGCACATGGCTAGCCATCATACCTCCTAGGTTATAATCATTGTACTTTAGAGACAAATCTCTTGAATCATGGAAATAATTGACTTTGGTACCAATTCTATATATATACATGTATATATCTAATGTACTTGTAACTAGAATGGGTTAAATTAGACTTAAACCTAACTATATCATAATTAAATACATAATTAAGGTCCTAATTATCCACTATTCCATTTCATTTGAACTAAATACAACTCAATTCCATTACATTTCAACCAAAGGACATTTTAGACAATTCACACCATTTTTCCTATAAATACACCACCATCCTCCATCTATATGAACATCAAACACCACACCCACCACACACCCACACGGCATAGAGAGACGGAGAGGAGTGGAGAGTGAGCTTGTGGAAGGGAGAAGAAGAAGAGAGCAAGTTTTGCAAAATTAGTTCCATAAGCATTTAAGTAAGCCACAACACAACTCTCTCTTTCATTTTCCTTTTTTAAATACATGTTATTAGAAATTTTAAATGGTATTTTCAAATGTGTTTTGATGGTATTCTCATGTTAAAAATGAAAGAAGTTGAGCCTTGATTCTAACATTCTTGTATTTCTCTTAATCGGTATAAGACTACCTTTTTCCATATCAAACTCTCAAAATTTCCAAAGGCACACATTCACCTTAAATTTTTGAGTTTAATACATATTATTTAGCAAGTTTTCCTCACCAAAGAAGTGGAAAATTTCCCCCAGTTGACCTTTTTTCTCATCAAATTTCTATTTTCAAGAACTGCGTCAGAAAAATCTGTTTTACATCCAAAATTTGAAAATTCTAGAAACATGTAGGAAAATCTTCTGGACCTCCATTTTATGTCAAAATCTTCCTTAAGGAGTTAGCTTTCAATGAAAATTTGTTTCATTGAAAAAAAGTGAGTGGTTTGAAAGAACATTTCGATTTTCGTAACGGTCGACGAATCTGGACAGCGCTGGAGTGTTTCTTGAAGAATTAAAAATCTAGAAAAGCTATTCCATTTCGGAAACATGTTTTGAAAACTAGATTAAATTTTCTATGAACCATAGGAAGTCTGAGTTCAGGAAAAATCTAAAATTGTCCTTTTGATTTTAATCTTTAAATGGTTACTGAATCTGCAAATTTAGTTTTGCATAGGTGTTTTATGCTCTTGTGTCCATGAATATGTTTATTAATTTATGATCATGTCTTGGTATGACATTGCATGTGTTATGGTTATGTTCTTTATCTTCTTCATTTTAATGATGCTCATACTTATGTGGATATTACTATCTTGTTAAGTTTGTTCTAACTTGATTTAAAACACTAATCTAAACAGAAAACTTAATTGGGCGGCTAATGGGATTTCGATCACTTGAATAATGAAGGATGATAATGTGTTAAGTATGGATTGATGGGATGTGCTCCCTAATTGAAGGTTAAGTCTTGCGCAAGCAGTTGTCGCGTAAACCCTAGAATAGAACGAACGTATTCGGACTCTTTTCGATGGTTTGATTGGTGAGATAAGGTTGGGTCCAGATAGGACATTCAGGAGGATAATTTTTTTTTGGAAGGATAAGGTTGGATTTTGTGTGATAAAACCTTTTTCTTTTCGCTATCCCTTTTGAGGCCCTGTGGTTGGCGCTAAGCGATACATAGCCGTTGGTAGGCATCCGAGGTAAGTTCTGTAACAAAGCAGCAAAAGGGGAAGTTTCGAATAGTCCGTTGTCCAATTCTTGTGGTTGTGAGGATGAAATCTCTTTGGGGGATTTCTAGAATACTAATATCTAACCTTGTAATCCTTTTTATTGACTTGAATACATGCTTCATCACTTGCTTGTTATAAATGTGATGGTATATTAGATTGGAAAAAAGGGACGGGGTGTGTGCGCGTTTACTGGGTATTCAAAACTCACAGCATTTCATGCTAAGTATTGAAGACTATTAGACCGGTTGAAGGCAAAGATGAAATTTGAAGGCGTATAGCTATCCTATGAGAGTTAGGAACTAGTTATGTTAAACGTGTTTTGAGATTGTAAATGATATATCCATGTTGTATTTAAGACATGATTTTGTAATTTGTATATATATAACATTTGTAATCTATCCTTACACTCCGTCAACTCATGTAGGTCTTGTTTTATAATACCTTGTCAAGATCTGTCAAAAAGGTAGTTTTGCTATCTAAGATGGTTAGACTTAAAAGGGAGGTTGTTTTAACTCATTCGATCTTCTTGGGATCTTACTTGGTTATTAGTCAAATGACTCATTAATAATATTTTCTACTCTTATAACCTTAGATAAACTCTATATTTAATAATTAATATATTAATTGATGTTCTTGATTTTTGGGCGTCACACACCACATCAACATCAAGATGGCATATGGTTTCTGAGCATGCTTTCTCTTGACACTCTGATTAGTTGCTCGGAAAACATTGGGAACAGGAAAGAAAAAAAAAAAAAGCTTGAATACCCAGTCCGGGTCAAACAATGCCATTGGCTTCATTAATGGATGTGTGTAGTGTCCTTTTTTTTTTACTGAAATTCAAAATGTGATTTTTTTTCTTTTCCAGATTTTCTCGGGAGGTGTGGCCTGAAAATCAAATCTGATTTGTGTAATTATACATTTGTTTTATGTAATAGCAGAGCAGAGTACTGTTGGCAATGATAATGGTGAGGTTTTTAGTTCAATTCAAGTTGTTGAGCTCAATGAACTCGTCAAGATTGATGCATCCATCGCCGGCAACGTCAACTTCCTTGATCATTGTCTGAAGCTCCTTGTCCATGGCGGTGTGGCGGCAGAAGGGAAAAAAAAACCAAACAAACAAAAAAACAAAACCATGTTGGACATTATGGCCTTGTTTGGTTTGTTTTTTTAAAAAAAATTTGGGAAAACTTCTCTGCAAACAAATTTTCAAGAATAATCAAACCAAACAAATTTTTTCAAAAAAAATCTTAAAATTTTGTTTGGTTACTTACTTTCCAAAATTACTCTCTCTCTCTCTCGTACATATCAAATCAATCACTTTTTTTAAAACTCTCTCCCCAAAACAATTTTTCAAAACCATTTTTAAAAAAAGGTAAACCAAACAAGTTTTTGTACTTTTTATCTTAAAAACTACTCTGCAAACACAAACCAAACACACCCACTAGTTTTTTTTACATCACATTTTAGCCAAAAAGCCAAAAAATTACTAAAAAAATCTGTTCCCAAACGAGGCTTTAGACACTTAAAGAATTTTGGTTTTCTATTTTCTTTTAGATCTTGTTTGAACAAGTGATCTAGGCCAACAAAATCGAAGGAAAAATAAAAAAAATGAAAAAAAATCCTATGTCCATCATCGTAATACATCATTTGCCCCTACAACACAGTGTTTGTTGTTTTCAATGATCTATTTTTTGTGTAAATTTTCAAAGGTAGGATTTTCAATGAACCATTCTGCATGAAGGGCCATAATTTTGTTTTGTTTCAATCGATATGCTTTGTATGATTGTTCATAATTTGCAATTGTAATGGCTGTTCTTTCTAATCTGTTGAATGCTTCTGTTTTTTCCCATCCCCTTTTTTTCTGCTACCAGCTTTGGTATGTGCTATCAAAGACTTTAGCAGAGGATGCTGCCTGGAAGTTTACAAAAGAAAAGGGTATTGACATGGTTACAATTAACCCAGCAATGGTTGTCGGTCCTCTCTTGCAGCCAACGCTCAATACAAGTGCTGCTGCAATTTTGAACGTAATAAATGGTATGTGTTCTTTATATTTTATAACAGACGCACGTAATCTGTTCTCATTTATGGATGACGTGACATTTCCTGTCAGCTAATTATTCAGGAGGAACTATGTTTACTTTTGTGAAACAACATATTTATATTTCTGTTGAATCAAACTATTCCCCCAAGAAGCTGTATATTACTGGGCTTTGGTTTTCTCTTTCCTTCATTTCATGATATGTATTTGTTGATGAGTAACATAAATAAATAAATAAATCTATAATGTAATTTTCCTAGGAGCATTTTAATATTCTTCCATCTAGAAATAATTGTTGCTGAAACTTGAAGCATAAAACTTTAGTTGAATAAATAAAGCCGTTGCCATATTTTATTTTTTGCAGAATGATGTTGAACTTCTTTTTAAGGGAATAATGGACCTGTTTATTTGCTCCTTTATTTTACAGGTTCACAAACATTTCCAAATTCTACATTTGGATGGGTTAATGTTAAAGATGTTGCCAATGCACATATTCAAGCATTTGAGATTCCTTCAGCTAATGGAAGATATTGTTTGGTTGAGAGCGTTGCACACTACTCTGAACTTGTGAAGATGCTACAAGAGCTGTTTCCTGCTTTTCAACTTCCAGAAAAGTAAGTGATTTATCTCATTCAGTTTATTAAACTCTGCTTCAATGTTTCTTCTTCTTGAACTGTTTAGCATGTTGTTACAATTTATTTAACTGAGTAAATTTAGACAATTCATCTCAGCTATTACTTATGGTCTGATAGGATTTGTTTCAATAGTATTTCCCTTACCTTTTCTAACAGTCTCTGTCAGATCCATCTGCTCCTACTAATTTGTCATGTCATTTTATGTGGTTTCACATACTACCTTTTAAAACATAGTTGATGAGACAAGTATATAACATAGCCGATGAGGTAAAAAGAGGCTCAGTTGGAAAGTTCTTGAATTGTGTCATTTTCTTGAAGTATATACATTGCCTCCTAAAGTTCTGACTATTTGAAGAAGTTTTAGCATAATATGATATTGAGCGTTGTGCAAGTTGCAAGAAGTCCTTGAGCGTTTAATGCAAGCTATAATTTAAGAAAATGAGTCTAGGATAATAAATAGATAAGGAGCCACCAAAGAAGCACGAGCACGGATACGGACACGTGACATGACACGGGCATGTGGACATGCAAATTTTCAAAAAATAGAGGATACGACATGCGGGAGATATGCTTAAAATATATAATTTTATTTATTTATTACATGATATAAATTTAAAAAAAAAAATTGAGAAGTAATAAAAAAATACAAAATAACATTAACAAATATTTAAATTTATATACAGATCTATTTGATGCAGTGACGGTAGAGGGATGTGGATGCTAAGGTGAATGTATGGCAAGACTAGAAAAGACAGGATTAAGAAAAGAGTATATTCGTGAATGGGTAGAAGTAGCACTGATAGAAGAAAAGTTGAGAGAAAATGGATTGAGATGGTTTGGGCATATAGAACGGAGACCAACAGAGGCTGTAGTGAAGAGATGTGATATAGTGATGGTAGATGAAAATGTTAAGGGAATGAGTAGATCTAGATTGACGTGGGCTAGTATAGTAAATAGAGATATGAATCTCCTTAATTTGACAAACCAAATAGCTGTTGATAGAGTCGAGTGGAGAAGAATGATTCATGTAGCTGGCCGCATTTGATGGGACTTAAGGCTTGGCTTGGTTTGGTTTGGTTTGGTTTGGTTACATGTATAGATATATTCATCAATTTTAACACTTTATCCAATAAAATAAATTTAGTAATTTCAAGAAATTAATTTTTCTTCAAATAAAATTAAGATGAATATTGAAAATAGAGGGGTTGCAACTTTTTGTTCACTTATCCAATGGTTGACCTTATAAAAGGGGGAAAAAATAAAATAAAAAAAGAGAGAGAGAAGGAAAAAAGAAAAAGAAACGAAGGAGAGAAGAAATAGAGAAAGAGAGAAAGGGAAAAAAAGAAAAGAAGAAGAAATCAAACGAAAAAACGAAGATGGAGGGGAGAAGAACGAAGAGAGACAAAGAAAAGAAGAGAGAGAGAGAGAGAGAAATCTACCTGCGATTGCTTGAATAGGGGCCTTCAAAAACTTCAATAGCTTCACCTAAGGTTTGTATCTCTCTCTCTCTCTCTCTCTCTCTCTCTCTCTCTCTCTCTCTCACCGCAAGGCCATTGTAGCCATTTCTTTCTCTTCGCAAGGTCATTACAAGGTCTTCGCCGGGATTCTTTTCATTGCACATCAAAGTAGTGCTAGGTCTGGTTCTAGTTCAATCGAAACCCTAGGAAGTCTTCATTGCTGGTCTCTAGTCTTCCATCACTGATTTCTGTTTCTTCTTCCTCGCACATCAAAGCAGTGCTAGTTCTGATTTTGGTTCAGTCGAAACCCTAGGAAGTCTTTATTGCTGGTTTCTGGTCCTTCGTCACTGGTATCTGGTTCAGTCAAAGACTTAGGTTGCATATCTTACTCATCTTCTCTCTATTTCGACCAATCTCTATCTCTGTCTAGTTTAGTTAAGGAGGAAGAGAAGGACGAGGACCAAAAAAATTGCTACTCTTGGGATGGGTTTGCAGCTCTAACAATGTCACTTCTGATCCTACTTTCTCAAACTATTTAACAGGTCGTTCATATCTCTCTCTCTCTCTCTCTCTCTCTCTCTCTCCTCTACTGTTTTTCACCTTGTTTTGATTTCACTGCGTAGTTTGGTTATAACAATATGGTTGATGATAAATTGCAAGCTATCGCCACTAAGTTGGATGGTACCAATTATTCTTATCGGTCTCATGTAATGAAGAATTTTATAATGGGTAAAGGCATGTGGAACTATGTTATTAGTGTAACTATTAAACCTATAGAATCCAAAGAAACTGAGGCTGATGTTGCTAAATGGGATAAGGAAAATGCACAAATTCTGACTTGGTTTCATAATTCAGTTCAAACTACGGTTGGTATAAATTTTTCCAAGTATTCTACTTCTAAACAAGTTTGGGACTATTTGAAAACTCTTTATCTTGAGTCTAACTTTGCAAAACCGTATGAACTTGAGATGTCTATTCGCAGTGCTAGTCAGAAAGATAAGTTCATTCAGGAGTTCTACAATGAGATAACAACTTATTGGGATCAGGTTGCTTTAATGGAACCATCATATTTGCAGTTACTTGACAATTATACCAAGTATCGGGAGATGCAACGTCTTGTTTAGTTTCTTATGGCCCTTCGTAATCAATTTAAGCCACTTCGGGGAGTTATTCTTCATTGGTCCCCCTTGCCTTCCATTGATGGTGCTATCCGTGAGCTTATTGCGGAAAAAACTCGGTTCAAGGTGGCTCAGGGTGCTCCTGCCTCCAAGTCAATTTTTGCCTATCCTCTGCTTTTGCCTACCCCACCATCTCATTTATTTCAGGTTACTGGTAAGCCCAAGCCTCGGGTTTCCATGGATGAGTACAGCTTCTGTCATCAGAGAAGCCATTGGAAACAAGCTCGTTCTAAACTTTTGTAGCCCAAGGGTCGTTCGTCTAGCCCACCATCCTCTAAGCCGACATCTTCAGAATCTCGCTCATCTGTCGTCTTTTCTGCACCAGTTTTGAAGAATGATCCGTCTTCCTACAAAGCTCATTTGATTGCCCAGGGATTTTTTTAGGAGTATGGGATTGATTACGATGAGACTTTTGCCCCCGTTGCCAATATGACTACTGTTCGCCCTCTTATCTCTGTTACCACTACCCATCAATGGCTTTTGTTTCAACTCGATGTCAAAAATTCTTTTCTGAATGGGCATCTTGTTAAAGAAATATATATGCGCTCTCCACTGGGTCTCTCTCACCCTCCTGGTGTTGTTTGTCGTCTTCGTCATGCTCTATATAGTCTCAAGCAGTCTCCTCGTGCTTGGTATGAGCGCTTTCACACTTTGTTGCACTTCAGCTTGGTTTTCACCCTCGTCATCATGATTGTGCTTTATTTGTTCGGCGCACTTCTATTGGCTTTATTCTCCTTTTCTTATATGTGGATGATATGATCATCACTGGCTCTAATTATAGTATTATTAAGGAGGCTAAGTATCAGTTGTTTCAGGAGTTCGAGATGAAGGATTTGGGGTCTCTTCAATAATTTCTTGATATTAAGGTTGCTACTTCTCCTACTGGGTATTTTCTCTCTCAGACTAAATATGCCCGTGATATTCTTTCTCGTGCCAATCTCACTGATGACAAAAATGTCGACACTCCTATTGAGCTGCATGCTAAATTTTCTGATTCTGATGGCGTTCCTCTTGAAGATCCCACTTTGTTTTACGAGTTGGTTGGGTGCCTTGTTTATCTCACCGTCCGGATATCTCCTATGTTGTGCACATTCTTAGTTAGTTTGTTTCTGCTCCTCGTTCCACACAATGGGATGTCTTACTTCGTACTCTACACTACCTTCGTGGCACTTTGTTGCAATGTCTACTGTTGTCTTCGTCTTTGGAGTTGACTCTTCATGCCTATGCTGATGCTGATTGGGTAGGTGATGTCTTTGATCGCAAATCCATTTCTGGTCTTTGTGTTTTTCCCGAAGATTCTCTCATATCTTGGAAGAGTAAGAAATAGTCTGTTGTTGCTCATTGAACCGCTGAGGCTGAGTATCGTGTCGTGTCATGGCTTATGCTACTTCCAAGATCGTTTGGCTTTGATGGCTTCTTTCTGATATGGGTGTCTCTCTTTCTGATCTGACTTCGTTGTATTGTGATAATCAGAGTGCTGTCCAGATTGCCCATAATTCAGTCTTCCATGAGTGGACAAAGCATGTTGAAATAGATTATCACTTTGTCAGATAGCATCTTCAGGTTGGCACTATTACTTTACCTTTCGTTCCATCCTCTCTTTAATTGGCCGATTTTTTTATGAAGACTCACCCTGTTGTTCGTTTTCGTTTTCTTCTTTGCAAACTTTAGATGCTTTCTACGCTCGCATCTTTAGTTTTAAGGGAGGTGTAATTGTATTTTATACTATTCATTAAGGGTAGTTTAGTCTTCTAAGTTATTAGGGTTTTATTCTATTAGATTATATATTTGTACTCAACTTTTGATTGATTAATTCAATATACAATATTACTTTTCTCTGTTATCAACGCGGTGTGGTTCAGGCGGTTTAAGAGTAAAATTACAAACCGAATGGCGGATTAGCGGATTGACAAATTACAGTTTGGGCAGTTTTTGGGGGATTGAAGAATATTCTAACTAATTATCATACATTTTCATCATATATAACACTAATTTGTATAATATGTTTTATATATATAACACAGTAATTTTACATAATATGTTTCATATATATAACTACTATTTTGTAATAAATTTTATATCTTAAATCTCTCTCATACTTATTTTTACTTTGATATTTCATTGGAGGATAAAAAATATATATGTATTAACTATAGTGGAGTGGAGCGGTTTGGAAGGTGGATTATAAATTTTAAACTTTAAACCGCGGTTAGCGGTTAGAGCGATGCAGATTGATGCGGATTGGTGCAGTTTTAGCGGATTGGGCAATATTTTGCACAACCCTATGCAGAGGTTACTGGGAAAGGAAACACTCATGGAAAGGAGAATGTAATTATTTAGAAAAGAGAGGTGGGTAATGGGTGGCGTTAT